CCCCAAGGTCAACCACAGCCCTGATGTGGCCCTCAATGAAATTGGGTTTGACACCCCTGATCTGAGTGAAGGTTCCTGTTACTCTCCACTATGCTATAACAGGTACTGGTCTTGGGGACTGGCTGATTAAAACAGCAGCTTCCTCTCAAGTTGAATTAACTTTTGCACCATGTAATATGAGAGGGAGTGTTTTTTGCTTTTAGAAAAAAAAAGATGTTCTTGTAAACGATATGGTTTATTTAAAATTTACTTCTCGTGTGCTTTTTGGGGGGGGTGCTTTTTTCGTTTGAGAAATGACATAAACACCTTACTCTCTATCCTTTTTTATTATTCAGATGACAATACTGTTGTTGAATATAATGCTCCTTGCAGTGAAGGTAAAGATGATGTTGTAATGCTTTTACACATTTTTGTCTATTATTAATTTCCTAATTGACTTCTTTCCCAGATTATGGTCCAGTTCACAGTCAGTTGTGGAAAAAAAATATTTTATGGTGAAAAAATGTAATTGTGTAATTCTTGCTGTGACTGCACTCCTTTGACAAAAGGTTTAGAGAGATCAAACTGAAAAATAGCCATTTTGTAATTCCAGCCATATACTTTGGATAATAACATTATCCATAATATTGTTTTATACATAATATTGTATAAGTATGCATAATATTATACAAATATTGTTTTAAATATTACATAATTAATTTCCTGCAGTTCTCTAGTTGTTATTGTTATTCCTTTTTAAAGCTTGTATTTATAATTACAGGTAGTCCACAACTTACAACAATTCATTTAGTGACCATTCAAATTTACAATAGCATTGAAAAAAGGGACTTAAGACCACTTTTCACACTTACGGCCATTACAGCATTCCCATGGTCATGTCATCAAAATTCAGACACTTGGTAACCAACTCATATTTATGATGGTTGCAATGTCCCAGGTCATATGATCCCCTTTTGCGATCTTCTGACAATCAAAGTCAAAGGGGAAGCCAGATTCATTAACAACTGTGTTACTAACTTAACAACAACAGTGATTCACTTAACAACATGGTACATACTTCTGATTCAGGGCAGGGAAGGATAGCTCCGGGCTGCAGATTGTCAAGTTGTTTGTCTCAAGGGCAGAAACCTGGTGAAAATAAATAAATTCCTTGCCGAGTTTATACCTATACTTAAACTCTGGCCATTGTGATAGCCTGGAGGTTTTTTTTAGACTGCGCAAAGATTGAAAGATTCCCCTGCTTCTTTACTCATGCCATCCATGCCATGAAAGCAAACAGCAAAAAGAAAAGAAAAGAAAAGAAAAGAAAAGAAAAGGCCATAGTTTTACTATTATTCCTTTCACTGGCAAATCAGAAATCTGGAATTCCTGTCTACTTTATGTGGTTTACTAAATGCACTGGTAAAAAAAAAATAGCCTTTCACTGGTCCATCAGTGAATCTATTAAAATAAGGAAGTCCAGCAGATCCCCAGACCAGCACCCCTGGATGAAAAGTTCATGAGGGCAGCAACGAGTGACCAAAGGGATGGGGGCACTCCTGCTGCAGTACACCAAACATTTAGAACGGAGGCCTTTGTCTAAAATGAAATGAAGTACAGAAAGACAACTTT